GGGGGGGGGGGGGGGGGTATCTCCCCAGTGGTAACAAAGGCAGCAAATAAAAACCTGACAAAGGTTGTGTGCCTTCCTCACTGTCCAAATCTAAAAAAAATAAAAACGTTTTGGCTGAAGTTAGTCTTTAATTTTTCATACTGAGAACAATTGATTCTCCAAAAGCATATACAACCATAGTGGAAGCAAATAGTTATTGCCTTACCTTATTATAACGATGAGAATATACCAATCCATACCCTAATAAATGACAGTGACCAGGGAAATGTTAACTGGCTATATGTACACAAGAAAAACGGCACTGGCAGAATTAGCTTATTTGGACTCACACTGTATTTAATTGTCAATGGACACGTGAAAGATTAACTTTGCTGAATTACATTTTGATTCCGTTATTGACATCAATACATTGACAGCCACCACTTTAATTGGCTGACAGCAGAAAAACCTTCATGTAGCAATCTGTCCTAAGTAAGAACTAGACTTACTTGGTCTCAGCCAACATTGAAATTCAAATCTACTCTGAGACCCCATTCACACCTAGGCCTTTTGTATCTACATAAACACAAGGAATCCCATTGTTTTCTATAGCCACTAATCACATGTGAGCATTCTGTTACTTGTAGCAAATTGCCTGTAGCTTAAAAAAAAAATGTGATTCTTTACAGGCAGGTTTGAGTGTTTTTGTGCCATAGACTTTAATGGAAATGCCTTAAAGCATCACAATCCTTTTTGAGGGATTTTTTGGAGCATTGTTCAGGTGTTTTTGCATAATGTCACAGATGCTACTGATTTCCATTGGGCCAAATAGAAAAACGCCTGAAGTTGAACACCTGCAAAATGCTTATCAAAAACTCATAAAAATGCTCAAAAACACTTTTAAAGAAAAAGCCTGAAAACGCATGAAAAGACAAACATCTAGGTGTGAACAGTGCCTAAAAAGTTGATTCTATGCAGCCGCTGTAGGGAAATGTTCCAGTTCTTAAAGGGCTGTAACTGTTGAGTAGGGACCACACAGATGTGTAGGTGGTTGCTCTGTCCCTATGTAGTCCAGTTCCTCACAAAGTAGTACATGGCTGTGCATCTAGATAAGCAGGAGCTTCATGATCTTTAGTGGTAAATTGTATGTTTTTCTTTTGGTAGCTCCTTGATGGGTTCCATTTTAGGGGCCCTGGGTATTAGAACAGGATTTAAAGGTGATGTTTCTACTTATTACTGGGAAAATAATTTTCATAACATCTCTTTATATGAATATGTAATAAATGTCCCCATTTGTATATGATTTATATCCTGATCTAAAGATAATTTCTAACTTTCATGAGCAGCAATGGTTCAAATGATTTTATATTCGGATTAGAAGTATATATGAGTGTTCATTATGTCATTCTCAGTTTATCAACCAGTAATGACTGTTTTCTTCTGTATTCTCCATTTGCAGACAAATCCTAGACACAGAAGATGAACTTCCAGAAATACGCTCAGATGCTGTACCCTCTGAGGTCAGAGACTGGCTGGCTTCTACATTCACACAGCAAACGCGGGCCACTGGTCGACGGTCCGAGGAGAAGCCCAGGTTCCGCAGCATTGTACATGCTGTACAGGCCGGCATTTTTGTGGAGCGGTAAGAAGCATTTTAATCATATTAGTACTTTTTTATATTATACTAATATTCTGCAGAGCCTTTTCATTTGTGTAGATCACAAGAGTTGCAGTTGATTCAAATTATATAACGTACAATTAAATGATAGGAAATCCCTGTTTGCAAGAATTGACGCAGTTCAATAAAAAAAAAAGACATCTGACCACTATGAAAAAAACATCATCATTGGTGATCCATAAGGAGACAGGAAAGCCCCTATACAGCTGGGTCTATTTTGGGAAGGCCTATGTCTGTTAGAGCTGATACAGTTCAAGTTAAACAAGACATGTAACCACTAAGAAAGAAAAAATGCCACATCTTTGGTGATCAGGAGAAAGGCAGAAAAAAAATGTTAAAATAGAATGCTAGCACTGGCCACTTTATTAGGTACACCTGTTCAATTGCTTAGTAACACAAATTGCTAATCAGCCAATCACATGGCAGCAACTCAATGCATTTAGGCATCTAGACTTGGTGAAGACAATTTGCTGAAGTTCAAACTGAGCATAAGAATGGGGAAGAAAGGGGATTTAAGTGACTTTGAACGTGGCCTGGTTGTTTGTGACAGACGAGCTGGTCTGAGTATTTCAACAACTGCTGAGCTACTGGGATTTTCACGCACAACCATCTCTAGGGATTAAAGATAAAATATCCAGTGAGCGGCAGTTGTGTGGACAAAAATGCCGTGTTGATGTCAGAGGTCAGAGGAGAATGGGCAGACTGATTCGAGGTGATAGAAAGGCAAAAGTAACTCAAATAACCACACGTTACAACCAAGGTATGTAGAATACCATCTCTGAACACATAACACATTGAACCTTGAAGCAGATGGGCTACAGAAGCAGAAGACCACACCGGGTGCCACTCCTGCTATCATGTCAATATGGACCAAAATTTCTGAGGAATGTTTCCAACACCTTGTTAAAGCTATGCCATGAAGAATTAAGGCAGTTCTGAAGGCAAAAGGGGGTCCAACCCGGTACTAGGAAGGTGTACCTAATAAAGTGGCCAGTGAGTGTATTTTTCATGTAAAGGGCATTGCACACTAAGTAATATGCAAATGTAACACTTCCTGGTATTTATTACCTCCTACGGGATCCCAGTACCCCCCATGACAATGCCGTCATCTGGAGCCATCTTTGTTCAGGCATCATCCATGTATTCTAATAAAGTTACAGAGAGGTTCCACTGTAGAGCTTGGTCCATTTTGCTTTAACAAGTAAAAGATTCCTGCCCAATCCTAAGCAGCAATTTAATAAATTATGATGACATTCTTTTTATTTGCATCCCTCTTGGTAACTCAGAGGAAAATTATTATTAACCCATTAAATGGGGCTAACCCTGCTCGTCTATTTCAAAGAAAGAAAATATGGTAAAGTAAACAGAATTGCAGGCAGGTATTAAAGATACAAATTAATGATACTTTGACCTCATCGGTCTGCTGCTGCTCTTTCACTGCCCAATCAGCAGGCTGGGGGTGGAGAGAGGATACCACTGTATGCTTTATCTTTGAGGGGTGTCGTCCAACTGACTGGGCTGTCTAAGGAGTCTGTGTAAATCTGAGAGCTGGATGGACAGAAATACAAAATCTTTGGCAGGTAAAAAAGCTCCCATTTATGTATTTCATGTGTGCATTGAATTCAGCTTTAAAGCCAAACTGCAGGAAAAATGATCATTTACACACCACACTGGTGTCTCCTACACATAACGCTGAGCTTCCAGACACTGCCGGGAGCGAGGGATGCAACTCAAACAGTAAAGTGCTCCAGTCACATAGCCTGTCCCTCCTCCCTACTTGCCCATTCAAAAAATGCCTTGTATATTTTCAAAGAATACAAGGCATTCTGTGATTGGAGGAGGAAAGACAATGTCACACCCCCTCCTCTCCTCCTCCAATCACAGAGTCGCGATTCATATTTTAAATGTTGCCACCCTCACTTTCCATGCAAAAACTGTTGTGTGTATAGGATATGGTTTCTTCTTTTAAAATGAGCTATGTTAACAATGTTTTCAACACTCTTTGTATTTTATTCCTTTCTCTTTCCAGAATGTTTCGAAGGACGTATACAGCAGTTGGACCAAATTACTCTGCAGCTGTTGTTAACAGTTTAAAGGTAGGATAATGGGTATTTCATATTAGCCAGAAACATTAGAGGATACTTTGATATACACATTATCCATTTGTTGACATAAAAGGATGAAGAAAATGTTATAAAATTGTACTCATTGTTTGAGGGCAGTTACAATCAATAGCTATGGCTTCATACGTAGATTTTTTTCAGAAGCAAATATTAAAAGGTGAAGTACATTTAAACCCAGCAACAAATATTTAATATATGCCAAGTTACTAGTCCTTAGATGTGGTGGCTGCATTAGATTTCTTTTTTTCAGGCAAATTACATTATCTGCAACTGTACCTGTGGATCCTGATGGACATTCAGTGTCCTTGCAACTTCCTTTGTACTTAACTGAAATCTTTAAAAATGTTATCCGCTTAACTGGCTATCTCCTGTGCACTTCAGAACACCTCCCCCTATGTAATGTAGGTAAGGAGAGGGGTGTTGTAGTCCAAATCAGAAGAGCATCTTAGGTGACAACACTGCTCCTCCATAGATGCAGTGCAGTGATTATGTTACCCTAGGAAATGAAGTGTATAACAGGATTATCTGGTGTAAATTAAAGGAAATTAAGTGTGAACATTAAAACTATTGCAGGCACCACTTCTAAGGTCTGATAAGCTGCTATGTACTAGATTTTTGTTCAGATAGGCTTAAAGCTAGACCGTTAATCACCTACTGTAGGTGTTCTATTGCTGTGCCTCAGTTTTTCTCTCTTGTGGGGTACAGAAATTTGGAAGGGGTCTAAACAACTAAATTGTTGGCACTATATAAAACCTGTATAATACTAATAATAATTGTTTGGTTTGGTTTGTTAGACCGCAATTATATAAGACCAAATATGTTAAATGGGTTGGTTCGGGTTGTGTGGCCTAACTGACATGTACATGGCAAGCTTTAGTTAATGAATTAAGGGGAACTTTAACATTTTTTGGTTCCTTTTTAAAATATTTAATTTTCTCAGACTGTTACAGTACAACTTTTTACATCCTGACCTTATTACATTTTTACTACAAGTACATAATTATAGAGTGTTTTATGGATATCATTGTTCTTCATGAAATAGGTGTGCTTCAAATTATGTTTTATAGAAAACACAAAGATTCATCATTTGGGTTCAGAAGAATGCCCATCGGTTTACTGTGTTCAGAATGCTGAATTATAGAAGAGTTTTTTTATCTAGTTTTCTCTCTTTCTAGCACCTGGACTTGTGGGACTTTGATGTATTTGTGCTGAATAGAGTCAGTGAAGATCATGCATTGAAAACCATTGTGTTTGAACTTCTCACTAGACACAACCTGAACAGTCGCTTTAAGGTAACTTGTAATAATTGCAAACAGTTCCGTCAAGAGTAATGTAATATTACTAACAATAGACAAATGTATGTTTTTATCTTTTTAATGATTGCGCCATTGTATATGTCCTGTATAAAGTTAAAGTACTGATAATAATTATATGCACTGTATAAAGTTAAAGTACTGATAATAATACTACTAATAATAATAAAAATAATAATAATATATGTACTGTATAGAGTTAAAGCACTCATAATAATAATGATGATCAGTATATTTTATGTTATAAAAGAAAGACTGTGCGCTTCACAAGGAGGGTTATAAACAGTCCTCTTTTTTAATCATGTTCTATTAGAAAGTAAGTGACCCAAAAACATGTAAGTTTCCTAAAATAAACATTGGCCTGGCTTTTCATTACGATAAATATTTTTGGAACCTTTTTCCATTACCATGCCTTTCAGTGTTTTTTAGAACAGATCTGTTTAAACATTTTTCAATTCTACATACCCAGAAACATAAATAGAATTCTGTATTTATTCTAGTACAGTAACCTTATCCTTAGCAGAACAGTTAAATGCATGACTGGGAAAAAAAATCACATGCATGATAACAATCAGAACAGAACCAGCTTATAGGAATACAGCACCCAAGTACTCAAATCACAGCAAATGAAAAATTAAGGAGTAATGGGGTGCTGGTATTCCCACAAATCAGCTTTCAGAGGTCATACAATGAAAAAAGTTGTTCATTGGTTGAATGCCTGGTTGAGTGTACATTGCTGATTGACTTGTATGTGTATGTAAATCCTAACAATTAACTTTTCTTATTGGCTGCCTTTTGGTCTGTTAAATATACCATTGAAAGTGTTTTGTTATATCTGTCAAAAGAGTACATAAATACCTGTAGATCCTGTCAGAAATCGAGTAACCTCATGAACTTCCTGAAGTAAGCTGTCAATGCTCCACTGTCATCTCAAGCAGTGTTATCAGCATCTCCCAGTTCACCCAGTTCTCCTATGTGGACTAGAGGACAGAAGAGGGGATGGTATACTCTAATCCTGTCCTAGTGTGACAATGCTGCTCCTCCATAGATACAGTTCAGTAAGTGAGTTTTGTCACTGTGTAACTGGCAGGATAAAGGAATGAAAATAAAAATTAAAATACCTAAAAAAAGAAAACCAGTGCAGCTACCACATCTAAGGACTGGTAAGCTTCAACATATACAATACATTGGGGTTGATTTACTAAAGCTAAATAGCCTGTTCACTTTGCAAGGGAATTTTCACTTATCAGGGGAAGTTTGCTGACTTCCATCACCCAATCATGTTTAAGAAAACATGTTTGTTTTTATATTTTCCTTGCACATGATTGGGTATTCTTTACAAAGTTAAGTTTTACTAAGCTAAGGGAAATGTCCCCGACAAAGTGCAAATTCCCTTGCAAAGTGAACAGTCTATTTGTTTTAGTAAATTAACCCAATTTCCTCACGTGTGTATAGTATAAAATAAAGTCAGCATTAGCAATTACCATATTTCTATACTTATGGGGCTCCTTTAATGCAGGGCTCAAAATTTCCACTCGCCCCTCGCAATTGGCGAGTGAAAATTGCGAGGGGGTGAATGGAAATTCATTGGTAGGGGGTAGCCAAACTGATTCTTCTCCTCCGTGCCCGCTGCAGCTACAGAGCGGCCGCGGAGGAGAAGAATCAGTTCGGCTGTCTTCCCTTCACTCCGACCACCTGCAGCTTCCTCCAGCCACCTCATCTGCCTTAGGCTGGAGGAAGACTGCAGCTGCTATTGGCCGGCTCTACGTTTTTGCAGCGCGGGAAGGGAGGCTTCAGCTGTGAACATGCAGGATACATCTCTGTACCCTTCCTACCAGCACCATCAGGAAAAGGTCATATAAATCAGGAGAGGAAGAGGAAAAGGGCAGGAGAGGAAGAGGGCACCTAAATCAGATCAGCTATGTGCACTGTAAGTCCCTGTTCGTTCTGCCTTACACCGCTGACATCTGTGCGTTACATTACTTACCTCTGTACTGCTGACTTTTGCACTGTGCGTTACATTAGTGACCTGTACTGTGCGTTACATTACTGACCTCTGTACTGTGCGTTACATTACTGACCTCTGTACTGCTGACCTCTGCACTGTGCATTACTTTAGTGACCTCTGTACTGTGTGTTACATTGCTGACCTCTGTACTGCTGACTTCTGTACTGTGTGTTACATTACTGACCTCTGTACTGCTGACCTCTGCACCGTGTGTTAAATTAGTGACCTCTGTACTGTGCGTTACATTACTAACTTCTGTACTGTGTGTTACATTACTGACTTCTGTACTGTGTGTCACATTACTGACCTGTGTACTGCTAACCTCTGTACTGCACTGTGCGTTACATTACTGACCTCTTTACAGTGCGTTATATTACTGACTTCTGCACTGTGCGTTACATTACTGTCCTCTGCACTGTGTGTTACATTACTGACCTCTGTACAGTGCGTTACATTACTGACTTCTGCACTGTGCGTTACATTACTGACCTCTGTATTGTGCTTTACATTACTGACTTCTGTACTTGGCATTACACCACTGACCTCTGCACTCTGTGTTGTTACATAGTTACATAGTATTTGAGGTTGAATAAAGACATTAGTCCATCAAGTCCAACCTATTAGGATCTCATTCTAGGAGTACCCGTACCCCTGTATATTGCGGTCCCTTAAGAAATCGTCCAAAAGTTTCTTGAACAATTCCACATTATTTGCTGAAATCACCGCCTGTGGCAGTGAGTTCCTGATCCTAACTGATCTTACTTACCAATTTTAGGTGGTGGCCTCTAGTTTTTGTAATGGAGTTAATTTTAAACAGTTTATCGCTAATGTTGCTACCACCATTGAACATTTTGTACATGGAGATCATATCCCCCCTTAATCTCCTCTGTTACTGATCTCTGTACTTTGCGTCACACTGCAGAGCTGTCAGAGGTATGGCTGGAGCAGGGTAGGGGTTTGATGGGGCAACTGGTGGCGTGTAACTCTTAAGCCCTGGCTAGTAGGTCAGGGCCTGAAATTGTGAGCCCTGCTTTAATGTATACAGTGCAATATTTCAATCTCACCCTTGGAAGCTGCATAAAATAGTAGTCTTTAAACTATAGAGACAAAGTGAAGAACAATGTTATCCACAGTTGTGTAAAGTTGCAAACATTTGGACTCTTACAGGGTTATTCACTAAAGGGTGAAGAGTTTGGAGAAGGCAGGAGAAGTGAACATTCTAGGACAACATAGCTGATATGAAAAGTGAGGTGAATTGGAGAATTTTTCCAAATCAGCTGCATTCTCCAAACTCTTCACCCGTTGGTGAAAACCATCTTAAAGTCCAACTACAGGCAGTGTTTTTTGTTTGTTTGTTTGTTTGTTTGGATAGAGCAGTGAAGAGTTTAAGCCTCTTTCATATTTATTTGTATTGCCATCTGTGTCTCTGTTGGGAAATGTCCTCTTACTTCCAGCTGAGACAGGAAGTGATATAAAATCTGTCCGATGGTGATACAGACAAAATGCAATATATATATTTTTAGTGGAGTGGGGAAGGGTAAGAACTTCTGAGAATATCTTTATTGCTATCCATGTCTGCCTGCCTGTCCTTCCCCATTTATTGCATGGGCATCGCAGGCACAGAAAGTGAGGAGATATTTCCCTAATGGGTACACAAATTAAAATAGAAACCTGACAAATATTTTAAATCTACCCCCACTCTAACCAAAACTAATAATTAAATGAATAGTTGGTTAAAAATAGGGTTTTATAATCCCTAGAAATGCCAAATAATTATGATCTACTGTCCTTTCAGGAACAGACTATCTAGTATGCAAACCTCTCTCTTAATTCAGGGTCAATGTATACAACTTTTTATCCTGGTGCTTAACACCCCCATCCAGATTATTGACAGTACAACACATTTGTTTTGTTTCAGCCTCGTTAAAAATAATTATCTGATCTAGGGGAGAGACCACAGAAGAAACTAAAATTACACCTGTGCACATATCTCTGACTGTTAAGGCATAAGGATACCACAAGAAACATTCATTTGTTTTTTAAAAGTAAATATTTAGCATACACGGATCCCCTCCTGATCGGATCGTGTGAAAGGGCCTTTATTCATTGATTTATGAACAGTGCACATTATCGATATGTTTCTTTTTGGGCTACTCTTTTATTTGGCCTACTTCTTTGGCCACTGTTATTATAATAAATTCTGCTGTGATTTCCTGAAACCTTCTTGGTAATTTGGTCAACTATAACAGTAATGTTGCTCTTTGTGGGAAATGTGAAGATGCATGATAGACCTTATCTAGTACTCAAGAAGAATGGAGTACACTTAACATATAGCTTTTACCTTGCTAGAAGGGAGAAAATGTATCTCGTGCTAAAGACAGCTAATGCTAAAAGATCCTTCTGTATCTGGAGTTATAACAGGGAGGCGAGATTATGGTTTATAGTTAGTAAGTTCCCCACCTATTATAATTGTTTTCCCATTACAGACTTATCATGCCTTGTACTGCATTCTGTCTCTATGTAGAGGCAGCCATCATGGTAAAGACATAGGGCTTTGTTTCCTCATGTTAGAGCTGCCCTCCTGATGACCAATGATCTGATTAGTAGTGGAAAAATATTCAAGGAGCAACAAAAGAGGTGCAGAAAGTACAGATCCACACAATGAATGAAGTAGAAGCAGGGAGGTCCTTGCACTAAGGTACATCTTTCCCTACAGCAAGGAGATCAGTATGCATCACATTGACAAATCTTACTCCAAATCTCTTAAGACTAACAGTCAGAGGCCTTAGATCTCACACAGCAGAGAAGTAGCTATGAGGTTGTAGGCACAGGAAGTGCACTGCAGTTTTTCAGTAGGAATTCAAGACAAATGTAAATTTTTCAGGGTACTACTTAGACACAATAAACATTTTTAGAGTTTTTCTATGAAATTGCAAATCTTCAGTTTTTGATTTCAGATCCACTTTGAGGCACAGGAGTTGTTTCCTTTCATGTACTGTCATCAAATGTACTTCAAAGTTTACATAATTTGTGCTTTTAGTTGTAAGATGAATTTGACTGTTAACAAATCACTTGTTGGCAGTGTGTTTACAGCTTGCTTTTCCTACACCATTGTCTGTTTTTTTTTCCTCTTAGATTCCTGTTGCGTTTCTAATGAGCTTTCTGGATTCCCTGGAGAGTGGCTATGGAAAGTATAAGAATCCTTACCATAATCAGATCCATGCAGCCGACGTGACACAGACAGTACACTGCTTCCTCTTGCGTACAGGCATGGTGGTAAGCACTTCTTCATAAACTGCTTATGACTTTCCATTATTGCTTTGGTATGGTACTTCTAAAATAATTTTTTGATTTAGATATGATCCTTCCAGACCAGACGTCTCAGAAATATTAAATAGAATTTTTCCATAGGACATGCTTCCAAATATTATGTTTTATGCTGCTTCATTTTTTTTTAAAAAAGCAATACTGATAAACAATTTTAAACTAATTTTTTTTACTGGCTATATGAGCTCTCAAATGAAAAGATAAACTATAAATAGCAAATATATTATCTTTTAACTCATGCTTCTTTAACACTTACAAATAAATCACCAGAAAATGTAGTTACTAGCAATAATCAGCTTTATGATTTATGCATTTGTGGAATTCAATCTTAAAGCCCACATTATGCTTTTTTTATAGAATCTTCTCCCAGAAACCCTTTTATCTATATCAAAAAGGTGGAATTGCCTATGTCTGGGCTTTAAAAACACAGATGTGATTTTCAGATTTTGAAATACTCTGTTCATTCTATTGAGATCTGTAGAGACCCATATCTTGTTGGGGTCAAGAAAATAGTGTACATTTTTTAACATGAAACTTTTCTTTGAAGGTTTCTACTTACTTTCTCTTACCCTTAAAACCAGCAAGAGCACACAGTCTACCTTCTAAAAATAATTGTTTTCACACAGCCATTGCTTTGTCAGGCTATCCCACCTTCAAAAAACCCATCAAAGCAAACCTGTGCTTTTCCCGGCAAATCAAAAGGTTTGCTTTAAAACTCAACTGTACTCAACCATGCTCAACCATTTCTTTGTTCCCCCCACCACTCTGGTGTTTTTCATATGTGTGAAAAGTGCTAATTATACTATGGAAAGGCCATCTATTATGTGCCCCAATGATAGATGGTCTCTCCATTTGAATAAATGGGGTTATCCTGTTCCCACGCAGAAGAACTCAGAATGGCCATGAATAGTGGCTACACTATGTGGTTCTTGCAAGAGCATAGACAGGTGAGTATAAAACTTTGGGATGGTATTAAGGATTGGAAGGGAGAGTTTAGAGGGGTAACTTAGAGGACAACTATACAAACGTATAGCTATCCTATAATCCTCCCAACCCCTCCTCTCCTTATCATCCACCCTGTTGTCAATCAAGTAACTAGGCAAAGCCTACTCCAGCCCAATTTGCAATTACTGAAAGATTGCACATGCTTCTAGTTGGAACAAGACGTTCATGTAAAAATTGAAAGAGCTCTGAGAAGCCCTTCAAAACATTATGGATATACTACACACATCCCTAAGGATACCATGCAAAGTTACTCTCACCTTTGAGCTTCTCTTACTGCAGACATCCAGAAACAAAGCATGCAGCTATATGTGGTTCCTAAAAAAAAAGGTTTGACCACATAGGAACGTGTGATAAGAGGATACTGACCTACCAAGATGCTACCGACGAGGTCTGTTGACTCTGGATGCAGTTGGATTAGGGTAAATGTTTAAATGGAGATTTCATAAAGTAGATCAGTAGTGGTCAACTTCCTCTATATAGGGGCCCCAAACTGAGCCTCTGACATCTTTAAAGGACCGCATATATTGTCCAGTTTATATAATACTACAGAAAAAATTCAGAGATTGGGCACAGTAGATGGCCAAAGGTTGCCAGGCATATTACAGGGAATGGTCAAAAAGTGCAGACATACTACAGGCATGGTTGGAGACAGGGAACATACACTGTCAGAGACTGGGGAGACATTATAAGAATTTGCTAAAGATCACTGCTATTACAGTCCTTTACATGTCAATGCTCCATACAGCACCCTCAAAAGTAATACTGATACCACATTTGATAATTTTCTCTGCAAGATCCATTGTAAAAGGTCAGAGAAAAAAATATACACAAAAAAGAACAAAGAGAATGGACAGTACAGAGAATAAAGAAAGTGTGAAAGAAATAAGCCATATCATTTAGCTTGTAAAAACCAGTTTAATGAATATTTTCCTTCCCTGTCCCTAAATAAGCAGCGAGGCAAGGAAGACACTGGCAGCTGGGGCCCAAAGGCCACACAGTAAGTTCCAAAGGGCTGCAATATTCCAGACACATCTGCATATGGACACCTTACAACTGTTCAGTGATTGCTTCTTGTGTTGTGAAATGGACCTGTTTTTCTGTCCCTAATTACATTAATCACGCTCTCAAACATCATGGCCATAATCAAACAGGATAAACTAAAAGCATTATGTGCACTGAATTCCTGCCTTCTTATGTAGATGTAGGAGTTTAACTTTCTTTAAGTGATCATGAAATTGCATCAATTTGTGTAGCAGGCTCTATTTTATTACTTAATTAGTGCCAGAATAAAAAATAGTTTAATTTGTGCTGTGCCAGCAGCTGTGTACCCTCATTTACTGTAATAAATGGTGCTTTATATAATGAAGGAGCTAGCCATAAATGATATAAGTCATTAAAACTGTGCCTGGTAACAAAAGAGACTTGCTATCATTTCACTTTTATAGTGTGGCAACAAGTGTAGGAAGGTCATTTGCTATCAGTAAGTCTCACATGACATGTATACAAGACCAACATTTCTAACTAAGTTTCTATACATAATGCCCAGTAATTGGTAAATTCTTTAGCATATATATTTACTACTTTAATCACAAAGTGTTAATGTTCTCATTCCTTCACAAAATAAGGCATCATTTATTATTTTTTAGTGTATTTTTGTAGGGACCCTTCTTTTTCGTCTTCTCTTCCACTTGTATTCCTCTTCTCTTCTTTCCAATAATCCTTCTCCTATACTACAAAACTATATTTAAAACAGCTTAGTATGAAACCTTCCAACATTGATAGTAGTTCCTGTCATGGTTTAGCTGTTTCAAAGATTAGGAAGACGACAGTTAATCTGCTAATGGGTTTTTAAAACTGCGAGAGGACTCCAAAAGAGTCAACGGAGACTACAATTGCCAAATGTCCCCTATTAGCAGCAATGTCCCTTATTATCAATAAAATCAAGGTTGTTCATTGACCCATTTTCCTTAAGCAACAATTATCAAATAATGAGAAACATTAGCTGTGGTGTCTATGGACTATTGACCCAACATGTAACAGATGCAAAAAAAGGGGCATAACTATCATGTTTTTGTTCAATAACCCCAACATTTATCACTCATTTTTATGCATTTATGCTAGTTCATAGAAGAAGCCTTCCAATACTGTCTGATTATTCATTCATAGAGGAACTATACTCATATGTTCAAAATAACAACAAACACACCTTCAGAAATGGTTAATAATGTCAATCTACAAACACATACTTCTAGATAATTGCCGGCTTTGTATTCTTTGCATATCTTATTTCTCTTTTCTTTCCCAGTCTTCTGACAGTGAACATTTTAACTAAGGGCAGACTACTAGATCTCCCTTTACTTCCTGGAACTCTGGCACATGTGACTAGGACATGTGACCATGCACATCACCTCAGGGGAGCAAAATGCCTTTCCCTGAGATCTCATGAGATTACAGATGAGATGTCCCAGCAATGCTCTGCTGGTGCAACCTTCCCAGGATGCAACGCTTGGGCACATTACATAATTTGTGCCAAAATGAATGAAGCAGGAAGTGGATAAACTATATTTGTAAGTAAATGAAAAACATGTTTGTTTACCCCCTTTGCCGTGCGCCCGTTGTAAATAAACGGACGGACTGCAGACTCTTCCTGGCGGGTGGACGTTACTGAACGTAATTTTTTTTTGCAAGCAGAATCCCGCTACATTGTTTTAACAGCCAGTACCAACTCTGCGATAAAAGCGTTTGGGCCGCTCTATTGCGGCCTGATCACTTGTATGGTGTGTATTGCATCACTTCCACCTTTAGCTATCATTTCTCTCTAGCCATAGAAGAAGCTGGTGAAGCAGATCACATGAACACATCTTTTATACTTTTTCAAAAAATTGGGTACTAATAAATGTTTCATAACATAACGTAGGCAAAACAGGCTTTTTTTCCAAAATGTTAGGTACTTTTTTCTTTATATAGTAAAAAAATAAAATACCACCAAAAGAGAAATTTTTTTTATCCGTCCTCAAAAAATGGTGTACAATTTATTTCAGTAAAGCTTTGTATGACTCAGTAAATGTCAAAGTACCTCAGCACTGAATACTGAAAAATGGCCTGGACAGGAAGGACGTTTAACACCCCGGTCAGGAAGTGGTTAACAAATGAATGTAGTAGGATTTTAAATCAGCACGCAGAGCTGCATGCTGATGTGATTTTTAGTGAAAGGGGGTGAAGGTCCACTTTATAAATATGATCTGTGACATTGGAATTCTTGCTCATGACTCCACAGCCCTCAGTTATTGAGTCCACCAAGAAATATGTATCATGTTTTTTTTTAATGTTGGGAGTGTGGAGTTAGGTATTCCTCTAAGTTTTCACACAGAATCACCTAGGGTGATCTTAAAACATGAACATCCCCTTTAGGGCTCCTCCCCTCTATTTGTAGTGTATACTTTAATCTATTAAAGTTACTTATCCCTCCCCATTTATCAAGGTACCTACATTCCTTTAAAACAAATATAATTTCTGTAGGCTTTATAGGACTATTTTGGCACCATTATTCTACATTATTCTAATTCACAATGAAAACCTGTTTTTATGTTTGTTACAAAGTTTAAATTTTTTTAATATTTTAGTTTTATTCTTTTGGGTAAAAACATGTAGTTTTAATTACACACATGCTGTTTCTGTATGGTGCCCTTGAACCATTGCATTTTTCTTATACATTTTTCCTAAGATACATTTCAGTATTACTTACCTGCAATTCCTTAAAACAGCATTTTTCACGAAACCTTCTAAAGTATTTATAACACAACGCAACATTCACAACAAGTGCCCCCTCCTTCACACCAGATTCTCACTTCACATCAGAATTCCACTTTGACATCAGAGCCCCCACACCATCACACCAAGAGTAGCAGCTACGACCGCATGCAGAGGGCAGAAGGTGCAGCAGGCTTGGACAGAGGCATGTGCCATGAGGAAGGCATGACGCTGTGTGAAAGTTTTGAGGCACCCCGGAGGAAGCCAGAAGGCATTTCAGGGTGTCGCAGCATCCTGCTTGAGAAAGGCAGCCTTAAAAGATCCCCACTTAAGTTGTAAAGTCCCAGCATATACTATCCTGTCATAACATAAGCATTGTAATAGGAATACATACTAGAGTTGTTTTTGATAATGTAATCAAAGCCTACTTTGATTTACTTACTTAAAATCCCTTATGTGCAGGCTGTCTTCTGTCTGCCTATCACTTTTAACAACTTCCTGGATTCCAAGTGTGCTTTTTATCTCTTTCTCTGCTGCTTGATGTGATGCAATCTCAATTTCTCATGGCTACTTTTCCCATTAGGCATTGCTGCCACCAAGCAATGATAATGGTTCATTGTTCAGACATTAAGTTGTAGTTCAGAAGGCGGGCTCTGTGAGAGTTGTGACACAGGGAAGTACATATTCACATGGGTGTGTCAGTGCATTGAGGAAGTATATCCTATGAGCATCTTCAGTAAGTAAGTTTACAAACCTTTACATCAATATGGTTATTAGTAGGGATGCACCGACCGATATTGGGATTGGTATCAGCACTGATGCTTCTACTAGCCCAAATGCTCCGATACCTTCCCCGATACCTGAACTTCCGGTCAGAGGAAGATTTCTTCTGACCAGCAGTGTCGTAGGGGAACATGGAGCCTGCTTCTCAGACAATCAAGAAGCCGGGCTGCGAGTAATGATCCGCCTTTCAGCTTCCTGATTGGTTGGGAAGGTGGCTCCATGCTGATTGGGTGGGAAGCTTGCTTTCCAGCCAATCAGCATCAAGCAGGCTTCCCAGCCACTCGGAAACCCGGGTCATTACTACCCGCCCAGCTTCCTGATTGGCCAGGAAGCTGGCTCAATGCTGATTGGCTTGGAAGCTTGGAAGCCGGTTTCCTGGCCAATCACAATTGAGCCAGCCAAACAACATGGAGCCAGCTTCCCGGGCAATTAGGAAGACGGGCGGCATGTCATTACCCGCTTCCCAGCTTCCTGATTGCCTGGGAAGCCGGGCCCATTCCAGTGGAAGCACCAGTATCAGTACTCAATATCGGCAAGTACCGAAACAAAAACATCGGTGCTCATACTCGTTACTGAAAAACCGGCATCGGTGCATCCCTAGTTATTAGGAGAGAGTTGGAGCTTATAGAAATTCAATATAGAAGTACATATTTATTTTTCGTTTTTTACCATAGATATCCTTTAACTTTTTTTTGCGTTTTAATTATATTGAAATTGTTTGTGAGCGCTAATGGTCAGAAGCATTATACATCAGGGTTGATCCAGAAACTCCGTGACTGTGGATCTCTTGCTGCATAACCCCACATACCTTTGTGCACAAACGGAAATCACTTGTATATTTCCTCATAACACAAAGATAAAACTAGGTATTACTAATGCAAGCTCTTTGCTGAGTATAAGATGACACATGTCTAGTTCACATAGGAACTAAGAAGACATATTTGGCAAAGCAGCAGAAGCGAGCAGACTCAAGTCGCTAAAGTGACAAATCCTGCCTTTGTCGGGCAGACTTCTGTAAAAAAAAAACTTGCAAAGAGAGTCCTAATAAAATAGTTTGTCATTTCTATAACACTTAAGGTAGAGCCAAAATAGAATATGTAAATATTTAAACTCCGTAAAAAGACTGCAGAAGTTCATGATTTGGAGAACACGGTGGTGCGGAGGAGAGATCTGGCTTTGAAGAGGATTTTTTGCTCCTTTTAACTGTGTAACCTCATTAACATTTAAACATTTGAGCAATATTTTAAACAATGCACTTAGAGTGTTTTAGTTATTTAAAGTGTTATATTCTTGTATTATGACTTTTCCTGTGACTTTAGCTGTGCTGTTACTCCCTCTGCTGGTCACTTGGTAACATGATGTTATTTGTCTTTCCTGTTCAGCACTGCCTCAATGAGATTGAGATCCTGGCTATAATTTTTGCAGCTGCCATCCATGATTTTGAACATACAGGTACAACAAACAGCTTCCACATCCAGACAAAGTAAGTGAATATATGATATCAGAAGATAACATTAATAACAGAACACTAATTCAATCCTAAGTTAATTTTCTTTATTTTTTTTATACCTATTACATACACTGCCTGGACAAAAAAAAAGTCACACACTCTAATATTTTGCTGGACTGCTTTTAGCTTTGATTAAGGCAACATTCGCAGTGCCATCCTTTCAGTAATCTTATGCAATGTCACAACATTTATTTCCCTCCAGAGTTGCATTTTTCTTTTTACTAAGATCTTGTAGTGATGAGGGGGGAGTTGGACCACTGTGTAAATTCTTCTCCAGCTCATCCCAAAGATCCTCAATGGGGTGAAGATCTGGCCTCTGTGGTGGCCAATCCATATGTGAAAATGATGTCTCATGTTCCCTGAACCACTCTTCAACAATTTGAGCCTGATGAATCCTGGCATTGTCACCTTGGATGCCTGTGCCATCAGGGAAGAAAAAATCAATTGTTCGAAAAATCTGGTTATTCGGTATGTTCAGGTAGGTATCTGACCTCATTTTTGGGGGATATAACATTGCTGAACCTAGACTAATGATCCAATGGATAATGGCTCTTACCTTACCTTGCTTAGCTAAATCCAGGTGGTAAATTTTTTGGCCATCCAGTGTATTCAGTTTGCTGTGTGCTCTTAATTTTCTCTGTTACGTTTCATTACCTTTTGTACCCCCTTTTCACATTCATTTTTTTTGCTGTATCCCTCTGGTCTCTCCAGATTTCATAGTTGCATAGTTACATAGTATTTGAGGTTGAATAAAGACATAAGTCCATCAAGTCCAACCTATTGCATGTATGTATTTATGAGCAGGAGTGTGCGTGTATATGAGTCCATGTGTGATTTTTCTCTTAGCAGTACCTATACCCCTTTATGTTACGGTCTCCAAGGAACTCGTCCAGGAGTTTCTTGAATGATTCAACTCTCTTAGCTGAAATCACTTCCTGCGGCAGCGAGTTCCAGACCCTAACCGCTCTAACTGTGAAGAACCCCCTGCGCCCTGTAGGTTGAAAAATGTTTTCCACCAATTTTTGGTTGTGCCCTCTGGTCTTTGTTACGGAGCTAACCGTAAACAGTTTGTTGCTAAGGTTGCTGTCACCCTTGAATAGTTTATACATGAAAATCATGTCCTCCCTTAATCTCCTAGCCTCCCTACAAATGTTGATACTCACTATGAGTTATCTATTTAATCTGTGAACCTGATTTACTAAATGAATAGAGCAGGTTCACTTACAAAGTAACTTTTCACTATGAAATGTAAATTTTCACTTATCTTAGTGACTGAGGTGCAAAGAACACTCAATCATCTGCAAAGAAAAACAACAATATTTTGCTTGAACATGATGCAGGACTGAGCACAACTTCACCCAATTCACTAAGCTAAGTAAAAATTCACTGTGCAAAAGGCAAATTCCCTTTGTTTAGTAAAATAGGTGAAGCTGTGCTGACTTTAATTTTCCAATCCTGTTTTTTAAATTTGCTTTGCACATCATCGGGTATTGGCAAAGTAAATGTTCACCTCATTCACAAATATTATTAAAAAATCACTTTGCAATGTAAAAATTAACTTTGGAAGTGAACATGCTTTACTCAACCCCCTCGTGCCATCAGACATACTGAGACTGATTTACTAATAAAAGAAATGGGAACAGGGATATATCACTATGGTATGCTTACATTGCAGGACCGAATGTGTGGATGCATGCCTGCACAGTGAACTCTTCTCTGAACATGCCTAACTGATAGTACATTAATGTTCACTAAGTATGGTATGGTTCTAGTTTACCATGTATGTTGACCTTCCTTATAATGCTGCCTTTGTGCTTTCTGTTTGAAGTGCACTAAAGTATGAATATATCAACACTTGCCTAAAAATGAAAACCTTATACCTATTACATACACTGCCTGGACAAAAAAAAAGTCACACACTCTAATATTTTGCTGGACTGCTTTTAGCTTTGATTAAGGCAACATTCGCAGTGCCATCCTTTCAGTAATCTTATGCAATGTCACAACATTTATTTCCCTCCAGAGTTGCATTTTTCTTTTTACTAAGATCTTGTAGTGATGAGGGGGGAGTTGGACCACTGTGTAAATTCTTCTCCAGCTCATCCCAAAGATCCTCAATGGGGTGAAGATCTGGCCTCTGTGGTGGCCAATCCATATGTGAAAATGATGTCTCATGTTCCCTGAACCACTCTTCAACAATTTGAGCCTGATGAATCCTGGCATTGTCACCTTGGATGCCTGTGCCATCAGGGAAGAAAAAATCAATTGTTCGAAAAATCTGGTTATTCGGTATGTTCAGGTAGGTATCTGACCTCATTTTTGGGGGATATAACATTGCTGAACCTAGACTAATGATCCAATGGATAATGGCTCTTACCTTACCTTGCTTAGCTAAATCCAGGTGGTAAATTTTTTGGCCATCCAGTGTATTCAGTTTGCTGTGTGCTCTTAATTTTCTCTGTTACGTTTCATTACCTTTTGTACCCCCTTTTCACATTCATTTTTTTTGCTGTATCCCTCTGGTCTCTCCAGATTTCATAGTTGCATAGTTACATAGTATTTGAGGTTGAATAAAGACATAAGTCCATCAAGTCCAACCTATTGCATGTATGTATTTATGAGCAGGAGTGTGCGTGTATATGAGTCCATGTGTGATTTTTCTCTTAGCAGTACCTATACCCCTTTATGTTACGGTCTCCAAGGAACTCGTCCAGGAGTTTCTTGAATGATTCAACTCTCTTAGCTGAAATCACTTCCTGCGGCAGCGAGTTCCAGACCCTAACCGCTCTAACTGTGAAGAACCCCCTGCGCCCTGTAGGTTGAAAAATGTTTTCCACCAATTTTTGGTTGTGCCCTCTGGTCTTTGTTACGGAGCTAACCGTAAACAGTTTGTTGCTAAGGTTGCTGTCACCCTTGAATAGTTTATACATGAAAATCATGTCCTCCCTTAATCTCCTAGCCTCCCTACAAATGTTGATACTCACTATGAGTTATCTATTTAATCTGTGAACCTGATTTACTAAATGAATAGAGCAGGTTCACTTACAAAGTAACTTTTCACTATGAAATGTAAATTTTCACTTATCTTAGTGACTGAGGTGCAAAGAACACTCAATCATCTGCAAAGAAAAACAACAATATTTTGCTTGAACATGATGCAGGACTGAGCACAACTTCACCCAATTCACTAAGCTAAGTAAAAATTCACTGTGCAAAAGGCAAATTCCCTTTGTTTAGTAAAATAGGTGAAGCTGTGCTGACTTTAATTTTCCAATCCTGTTTTTTAAATTTGCTTTGCACATCATCGGGTATTGGCAAAGTAAATGTTCACCTCATTCACAAATATTATTAAAAAATCACTTTGCAATGTAAAAATTAACTTTGGAAGTGAACATGCTTTACTCAACCCCCTCGTGCCATCAGACATACTGAGACTGATTTACTAATAAAAGAAATGGGAACAGGGATATATCACTATGGTATGCTTACATTGCAGGACCGAATGTGTGGATGCATGCCTGCACAGTGAACTCTTCTCTGAACATGCCTAACTGATAGTACATTAATGTTCACTAAGTATGGTATGGTTCTAGTTTACCATGTATGTTGACCTTCCTTATAATGCTGCCTTTGTGCTTTCTGTTTGAAGTGCACTAAAGTATGAATATATCAACACTTGCCTAAAAATGAAAACCTAAAAAAAATAATATGACTAGCCTACAAACCAATGAAATGTGTAGGCACCACACAAAGCAGCAGGTCTAAATTAAACTTGGGGTCTAGTCACACCAGCCGCTGCGCTACATTGTACAACAGCTGGTGTGCGGCGCACGGCATAGTGATTGCTGATGTGTCCATCCTGGCACATCGTACTGTTTAGTTTTTTGTTTTTTTTTAGAACTTTATTGAAATGTTATTAAGTTCTGTGGGCACAGTGTGGTGCGAGGCGGTTCTATCACATTGCATCCCGCTGCACTAAAAAAAAGTACTACATACAGTACCTTTATTAGCACAGCCAGTGATGTAAACTGCAGTGTGCCCATCTGTGACGAGACAAAATGCCTTGTATTGCATTGGTACCGCACTGGAAAAAATGGGCAGTACAGCCCCAACACATTTGGTGGAAATGGGCCCTCACACCATGCTATCATAGGTTAAAAAAAAACAGCATATTTACAGGCATTTATCAGTGGAATCTCAATTCCAAGCAATAGATTATGGAATCTATCCCACTGTGCTGTGTATACATTTCTGTGTTTGTGCACAAAGATACCAGCATGTGCAGAGCAATACCTCCCTTCATTTAAGCTTTTCACAATTTTTTTGCAATCAGCTTTAATGAGAGAAATATGCACTTACAATATGGTTTTATTACCAGATGGTATGTGAGACCCAAAAACTAAATTTTCTTTATAGAAACACAAGTGCTTAGCCATAGCTCGTAAATTATGCTTTGTCCATCCCATAGAACTTGTAAGTTAATTATCCTTATTGGTGGTGTAGCCTGTGCCCGCTGATCAGCATTGGACGCAAATAGTAAATACCACTGGGATACAATTTTGTTGTCTGCGCACGATCAGTGCACCGATGTACGGTGCATATGTTTAGTAATATGTTTGAATAAAACAGTTTTGCATAGTTTGCTACAGTTTTGACCACATAACCTTCAAGAAAGATACAGTGCATAGTTTTCTATTTTCAGGAGAGAAACAATGCATTTTTTTCCATTAACCTTACCCGCATGATAACCGAGTCAAATAAAACTGTAACAGTACTTAAGCATGTGCCATTTAAAAACATAACATGTATGGGAAATGATTCATATATCTTAATGAAATGTATTGGCACATATCCTTTTATTCTTGAACTGAAAAAAATAATTTACACTTCAGTTAAAAGTTAAAGATTCGATTTTATTTTAATTATCAGGTGTCAGAACTGATTTTAAACCGTGTTAAAATCATATATTTATGCCCTCTTATTCACAGGATTAAATTGCCTACATCAGAAACTCCCATGTGTCAAGTATAAGAGCTGTTATACATTAAAACTCTGCACGATTTCCATAGTAACAGTGTGACAGTCACAATGTCTCCAGCGACATACCAATGTTTAGTGCCTATTCCAGCAGTGTAGAGGTATATCCGCCAATATGGTATGCAGCTTGATCAGTGGCTGTTACATAAGCCACTGGTGGGCCAGGCAGCTGATTATTCCTCACAAAGTAAATTAGTTTTATGGGTTGAAGGATTCACTGGCAAATTTACCCAATGAATCCTTTGAGAAAATCGCCCGAATGATATTCAATGGCAATTGTCTGGCATTCAACGCGCACATTGATCCTGTTTACATGAGGATAAACCAGACGAATATGGCAGCCGGTGAACAGATGTTGAATCCCACTTGTACAGTAGAAGAAAGGAATAGATTGTACCCTGAAGACGAATTCGCCAGCTATTGCTCTCTATGGTCCTGAAACACAGGTTCAGTACTAGAAGCGCTAAAATCAGCATGTGCTCCCCTCCTTTCCCCTTCCAAGAACTAATCAGCATGGTACACCAGGTATTTGGGTTGGTATCCTCATGGCAAGCAGATGCTGAACATGCAGCCCCCATGCTGTGCTGATACCAGCCTACATGCCGTTCAACATTGGGGGGTGGGGGTGTTTAAAGAGGGGTTCTCCCAAAAGACAAGGGTCCCCTGAGCACTGCAGGAGTTTTTGCCACTGGCATGGTTTTCAGTGGCCTGGGAACTCTGGGAACAGAGTTCACTGTGATGTTACTGCCCTTATTTCACCCCAGTGTTCTTCCCTACCCTTAGCTTCCCCTCTTAGCTCCTCTTCTTCTTCCACTAATGCTGGATGATATATGCTACAACATTTCTTTGAACATACCTAGAACCTAAAAGGTAAACATTAGTAAACAAAGAAAAAAAATATAATTATTTTAAAAATGTTGTTGGCATATTTATGGCATATTTATGGTGACAACGCTTACTCATTACACTTCATCTATGGAGGAGCAGCATTGGCACCCTAGACTGCTTCCTCCTAATTTGGACTACAAACACATCCCCCTCTCCTTATCTCAGTAACATAGTGAGGAGGTGTTCTGCAGTTCACAGAAGAGATTTGGGAAGGCAGATAACATTGTTTGAGATTTCAGTTCAGTACACAAAGAGTCACAAGGACTTTGGATTTGCGGCAAGGTCACCAGGTATTTTTCGGTATTAGCAGCAAAAAATAATTATCCCGAAAAAAACACTCCCTATGTTATGGAAATCCTTCCTGATCCCCTAAGGCAATGAGATATTCCCTGGATCAACAACCCCTTGTGTTAATACTTACAAATGTTAATGCACAGTTATATGTTGGACTTATTTTTAAACAATTAACTGAGTTGCCCAGAACTAGTTCATGAGTGAGTGTATTCCACTCTAAGGCCTGGTTCACACCTGGGCATTTTACAGCGCGTTCCAACGCTCTGTAAAACGCTCAACATGTGAAAACCAATGATTGCCTATGGGCATGGTTCCCACCTGAGCGTTTTACAGCGTGTAGGAACGTGCTGCAAAATGCCCTGCGCCCAAAGAAGCACAGGAGCTTCTTTGGGGCGTATTTACCTCAAAGAAGCAGCCAGGTAGCCCTCGGAATACAGCCAGGTAGCTCTCGGAAACGCGCGTTTGTCACACTTTTTTTTACCACGAATCGCGGTAAAAACGCACGAAACGCGCGATAAACACGCATATTCAATACGCCTAGGTGTGAACCCAGCCTAATTGTAAAGAAGCCTTTTCATAGTTGGAGGTTAAACTTTTTTTCCTCCAAATGCAGAGACTGCCTCCAATCCTGTGCAATGACCTTAAAGTGAATAACATTTCACTATGTTCACTAAATAGACCATTTATATATTTATACTTAGCGATCATTTACCCCCAAAAATACCTCTTCTCAAGGGAGAATATATTAAGTTCATCTAATCTTTCCTCATAGCTGAGCTCCTCCGTTTCCCGTATCAGTTTAGTTGCTCTTCTCCCAATATCCTTTCTGTGAACCTCATTTGCCACTTAGTTGCCCAATCAAACAGTGTATTTTAGGTCTGCCTGTAAAGAGCTATTGTAAGGACGTTTTTTTCCACTACATAACTTGGTGTCATCGGCAAACACAGCAATGGCACTTTTAATCCCAAACTCTATATCATCTATAAATAGGTTAAAAAATTAGGGTCCCAAAACTGAACCTTGGTGTACACCACTAACAACATCAGACCATGCAAAGTATAAATCATTAATCACTACTCTCTGAATATGGTCTTTAAATCTCCACTTAGGAAAAAACTTCCCTTTCAGTGGGGCCACCCTTGAACTGCAAGGGAGGGTTAACTGCTTTTTTTGTTTAGGGAGATGCTGATAAGGACTTTTACTTACCTGATCCCTGCTACCGCTAGCCCCAAGACCGCCCCCCACGGCATCTTCCCCCTACGCTCCTGCGGTCAGAGACCCACATCATCACATCTAATATATAGTCCACAGCTGTGCATTATACATGAGAATGCTAAGAGACAGTCCAGAAGCCAGAGTGGAGGGAAGAGGAGGGATTGCTGCCCGCTGGGGTAGGGGGTAGTGTGGGGGTAGCCCCATTGCAAGGATAGCTCAGATATTAGCCAACTGTGAGGAACTGTGTTAAACTCTTGAAAAGTCCAAGTATAGTATGTCCACAGCCACTTCTTTCGCTAGGTTTTTGAATACTTCATACTTGCTTTCTTTCTACTTATTTATGGGCTTTGTCTGTGTAGCACACCCCTGATCCGAAGAGGCCTGCGTAGATGACCAAATGCTAGCGAGGGCCGACATTTCACTCTCAGGGGCAGATCCCTGAGTATTTTTGCACTTACCCAGCATGCACCACTAGTCATGAAACTCCTAGTGATTGGCCGGTGAGGCATAGACACTCCTAATGTTCCCCTATTGGCTTCCCCCACTCTGTAGCAAGGTCACACCCCACTCAGGTACATGCAATCGATAGCAGAACACCTGGAATTAACCAGATAATGTCAAACAACAAATCAGCTAGGCTGATTACAGTGCCAGCAATGTTAAAGTTTAGTAGCCACTCCACTTGGAGGTGGTAGGGGCTACACCTGTTTCGTAAGGGAGAGCAGTCAGATATTTACTTGCTGCAATATTAGCAGAATAGCTAGATTAACGTTTTTATGTGCAGAATCCTGAAAACACGTAGGCACAACTCTTTATAGGTGGTCCAGGTTACGGCTGGGAATTCCTATTTCTAAATTATCAGAACGTTTGCTGCTCAACCCCAGGCTTGGCTTTATTAATAAAATACCATCATTCAATGCAATATCTTCATTGTACAAGTTACCCGATACTGTACTGAGTTACTAGTACATTGGGTTTACAAATCATCGCTCACAGACACATATTTTTCAGTTTAAGACAGGCACTTAGGCTGTCTCAATGACCAGAGCGTGGGAAGAAATATGCTTAACAATTGCAATACAACCCCAAAGCTGAACTCCAGGCTGATGTAGAAAAAACACTATCCAGTAATGTATTCATGAAAATAAATAAATGTATGTTCACATAGAACTATAAGAAGTACCTAAAAGTGGCCATACACCAGTAGAATTTCATTCCTTCTGAAATCAAATGGTGAAACCAAACGAAATTTTGAATGACATCCATCAAGTCTCTGATGGCATTATTGAATGTTCTGACACGATTTGTCGTATAAACATTTGTACAAAAATCTACCAGTGTAAGTCTATCTGTGTAA